TCGAGATCAAGTCCATGGATGCCTCCTCCGCCTTTCTCCAAGGCCAGCTCAAGGAGGATGTTCACATGGAATGCCCACTGGGATTTCCTGGCACTTACCCTGCCAACACAGTATGGAAGCTGAAGCGCCCAGTGTATGGCCTCAAGCAGGCTCCTCGTGAGTGGCACAACAAGGTGAAGGAAGTCCTCCTCGCACTTGAATTCCATCCCTCTGCCTCAGATTCCAGTCTCTTTGTTCGTCACTCTTCTGAGCCCTTCTATATCCTCGTCTACGTCGAGGAATTCATTCTAGCCACCAGAGATCCAGCCGACATGGCAGCTCTCCAATCTGCTCTCAGCTCCGCCCTTCTCATGAAGGATCTCGGTGACCTCAAGAACTACCTGGGGATGGAGATCACTCGTGACCGCCAGGCTTGCACGATCACCCTCTCCCAGGAGTCCTACATCGACAACCTTCTCAAGCGGTTCGACATGGACTCCAGTAACTCTGTCTCCACTCCACTCCCACTACAGCATCAGCTCACGGCCCCTCCAATTCCTTCTCCTGACGCCTGCAAGGACCCATACCCTGAACTAGTCGGTTCACTCATGTATGCCATGATGTGCACTCGACCAGACTTGGCTTACCCGGTTAGTGTCCTCTCTCGGTATGTCTCCCCCAGACGCTACACTGCCTCGCATTGGTCTGCAGCCAAGAGGGTCCTCCGCTATCTACAAGCCACCAAGTCTCACATCCTCACTCTTGGTGGTACCTCTCCAGTCAAGCTCGAGGGATACACAGACTCCTCATGGGCCGATGACCAGACTGACAGACGCTCCTCCCAAGGGTAATGCTTCACCCTTGGTAGCGGAGTCATCAGCTGGCGCTCCACTCGGTCCTCTGCAGTCTCCCTGTCGTCCTGCGAGGCCGAGCTCTACGCGGGCACAATGGCTGCTCAAGAGGCACGCTGGCTCTCCTTTCTCCTCGCTGAGTTAGGCTACCCCCAGCAGTCGCCCACCCTGTGGTGTGACAACCAGAGTGCCATTCACCTCACCAAGGATCCTGTGTTCCACTCTCGCACCAAGCACATCGAACTTCGTCATTTCTTCATCCGAGATCTTGTTCAGAGTGACCAGCTGACGGTACGGTACATCGCCTCAGATTGCAACCTCGCCGACCTCTTTACCAAGGCTCTCGGCAAGGCTGACCACCATCGCCTTCTCCGTTCCATGGGGCTATGTGCTCCTTGACCGGGTTTGCAGTCTATGGGGGTGTGTTAGAAATAGACTACAAATACCACTTTTATATTTGTACTTTTATATCCTAGTTTAGGTTATGAATGTTCTAGTGGGTTGGGGTGTACTCACAAATCCCAACCTCACCCAATTGTGATCCCCCTAATCTCCAATTACCCAATTGGAGATTCCGGAGATCCCAATGGGGATTCCCTCCAATTCCCCCCTTCATCCATTCTCTCTCACCTTGCCATGTACTTATAGAGCCTTGGGCTCCTTACCTAATCAATCATTTCAACTCTATTTCTTACAATTTATTCATCGACAGTCGATCCGGACAGTTGATACCGAGCGGCAGTCTAGATCTAATTTCGCTCGCCACTTAGGGCAAACACCAATTCACGCGACAACCGTTAGGATAGGAGTTAGGCCAGAAGCGAACCTACGACGACATTGCGATCAAGCCGGTAGATGAAAAGTAGCGCGCTCGTATCTTAATTATGTTGCGCAATGGGGAGTCGACCAGGAAAATCGCCAAGGGGCTCGGCATAGGCAAAAGTACCGTGCATGATTACGGTCTGAAGGTGATCGCTGAGACTAGTCGCGATGAGGTGCGCCCCACGATGCCCATGGCAGGTCACCCACGCTTAATTACAGCTCGCCTCTAGCGCGGAATAGTGCGTGCGATTACCAGCGGGAGGCGAAAAACCAGCGTAGACGCTGCGAAAATGTTGGAGGAGAAGCACGATCTCACTGTAGACTCAAGGACCGTAAGGAACTCATTACGATATGTCGGGCTCGTCGCGCTGCAGCAGTCCAAGAAGCCCTGGCTCTCTACGAAAAACATTAGAAATCGGTTGGATTTCGCGAGGTCACACGCTGACTGGACGATGGAAGACATGAAGCGCGTGATATGGTCTGATGAGACGAAGATGAATCGTTTCTACTCCGACAGACGCGCGTACGCCTGGATTCGTGAGGGCAGCACCCTCTAGAGCCACCAAATCCACTAGACAATTAAGTATGGGGGTGGCTATGTGATGGTGTGGGGTTGCATGACGTATGAGGGGGCGGGGTTCATGTGCAAGATCGATGGAAGGATGGATGGGCCACTGTATCGCAATATATTGCAAGACGAACTCTCTCATACCATCGAGTTTTACAACCTCCCCCCCTCAGAGGTCATTTTCCAGCACGGCAATAACCCTAAGCACAAGTCATGTCTGGTACAAGACTTGAATGGCCCTCCTCCTCCCCGGACCTTAAACTGATAGAGCACCTGTGGGCCCACTTGAAAAGGGAGCTGGCGAAGTATGAAAAGCCTCCCTATAGAGAATTGGAGTCGTGGGAGAGGGTGCAAGGGGAATGGGATAAGATTCCCGCGGAAGTATGCTCAAACCTCATCGAAAGTATGCCAAGGAGGATCAGGGCGGTGATTCGCGCAAAGCGACGCTGGACGAGGTACTCGTTTAGCTGGTTTCTTGTTTGTTGCATGTCCTCGAAACAAACTGTATGGATGTGTTCTTAGTACATGATTGAGAAAGCTTGCTTTCTTGTCCTTTGCAATAGGCATCGTTCTCATTTCAAGTGGGGTCGTTGAGACATGTGCAGTGGGGGCTTGCGGTGGCGGAGAAGTGCCTCAGCGTGTTGTGCAGAGGATGGTGCCGCCGCCGGGTCTTGCAGGCGTCGAGACGCCCCAACCAGATGATCGGTCGCGGGCGTGACGTACATCTCTTTCGCGGTTTCACTACGCCAACGGCCCAGGCGTTTGAAGATCCTGTCAGGAACCCCAGAGTTGGCAGCAACTGTGGCCGCGCCTTTCCGAAAGGAGTGGGTGCCGAGGTGCTCTTCTCCCAGACCGATTTTCGCGAAGGCTTCCTTGCACCAGTTGCGGATTGTGGTGTATGAGGGCGGTCTGGCTGTGCCGTGGCTCGGTAGGTGGGGTCCGAAGACCCGGATGAGCGGTCCCAAGGACTGGAGGCTGTATCCTGCGAGTTGGATGAGCCTCTGGGTGCCCTGGACCGGACAAAAGGGTCCGGGGCTTGCCGCGATAGGGATCCAGGTGCCTTGGCCGGCTTGGTCGGTTTTTGAGTGGGGGATGAGTAGCCACATCGCTTCATCTTTAAATTGGATGTCCTGCCATTCGATGGCCACCAGGTCCGAGTAGCGCAAGAAACCGGCGTACATGAGAATCGGGATCAGTCCTTTTTGGAACACAGCCGGGTTAGTTGACTATAGGAAGGAGGCTGCCATATCGTGGACCTGATGGAGTGAGACTGGCTCTTTAATCCTGTTAGGGCGCAGGCAGTGTCGCTTCGCGAAGTCGCGCACTTGGGAGGTGAAAGGGCCGGTGGTTGGGCATGTTGAGCCTGTCATCCTGTGGGCAAAGCTCACGGCGGAGCATGTGAGCTGAACCACCGACAAGGAGGCCTTGCGTTGGATGACATACACAAGGTAGAGCGCGAGGGTCATGTCCGATGCCGGCAAGAACGTTAGGTTGACCTTCGTGCAGAAGGCGCGGAACTTCACCCAGTAAGGCTCGTATGTTCGGATGGTCGAGTCGGCACGAGAGCGGGCGAGCATGGAAAGCAGGTCATGTTGGAGCTTTGGAAGCAGATCTGGGGACAGGCGAGGGAGTCTAGTTAGTCAAATATCACGCGGAGTGCGACGATAGTGCTGTTGGGTAATCCTGTGCCTGAGAATGCTTGACTATGTGTGCCGACTGTAAGACACTGGCTGCTGTGTGTAAGGGGGATATGTGCTTGGATGTGTGGGTCCCACGATGGAGGGGAGGGCTGGAGGAGCGGCCACCAGCTTGCGCCAGGCCAGTGTGGGACTATGAGGGTGAGAGATGCGCTCGTGCGTTGTGCGTGATGGAGTACTGCGGGGATGAGTTGGGGCGGTGGGAATGCAAAGCTGTTCTCAGCCGTCCAGGCAAGTGAGAAGGCGTCGGCTGCTGTAGCATCGGGGTGGGGGACCTTAGAGCAGAAACGCGGCAGGTGTGCATTTTGGGGGTTGGCGAATAGGTCAATGGAGTGGGGCCCCCAGCGACGCTCGAGGAGGCGAAACCATGGGAGCTTCAACGAGTAGTCATCGTGGTCGACTAGCTTGGAGAGCTCGTCTGCGCGACCATTCAGATCGCGTGGGATCCATTCGATGATTAGCCGAATCTCGAACTCCATGCATTTTTGGATGATGCCTTTGCACATGGTGGTGAGGTCGGGACTTCGGGAACCTCCTTTGCGAAGGATAAAGAACACGCCCTGGTTGTCCACCCGCACTAGCACGTGTTTCTTCCGGATTCTAGGCGCGTACGTCTGTAGCGCCCACAGGACGCCGGCGAGCTCTCTTTGTGTGCTGGAGGTTGGATGAAGGGCTCCGGGCATTGCCGCGCTGGCCTCTATCGCGGCTCCAGGGAATGTGTTCAGCGTGGCACCCCAGCTGTGGGCACTTGCGTCTACGTGGATGACAGCATCGTAGCTGTGCCGCACATGGAACGGGGCACCGTTGAAACGGTCGAACTCTTGGATCCAGAATCTCAGCTCTTCGATGGCGGGTGGGGAGAGGATGACCATGCTGGTCCATGTCGGCGCGTCGTTGATTGTTTCTAGCATGGCGTGGCTGAACGCTCGGGTGGCGGTGCCGAGTGCGACAGCCATCGATGCCAACATGCCTGTAACTCGGGCCAGTTGCCGGACTGGGACTTTCCGCTGAGCTGAGCTTGCGCGCAGTAGGGCATGGAGGGTGGCGTTGAGTGTGGCTCGCCGCTCCTCGCCGATGGAGAACCGGCCGGCCTGCGTGTCAAGTTCTACGCCAAGGAACCGAAGGTGCTGTGTTGGTATCAGCTTTGACTTTTTTGAGTTGAGTACGAGCCCTGTGGCCTTGAGATCGATAACGACTCGTTGGCACGTAGCTTGAGCGTGTGCCTGGGTCGGGCACAGGAAGAGGATATCGTCCACGTAGGGTATCACGCGGACCCCCTGCTCCCGCCATCGCCGAGCTAATTGCTTAATGAGCTGCGTGAGGACGAATGGTGCTGTGGCGAGGCCGAACGGCAAGGATCGGAAGGCGTATGTGCGCCCGTCGAATTCAAAGCCGAGGAACGTCCAGCACGAGGGGTGGATGTCGACATGGTGGTAGCCTGATTTCAAGTCGATGGAGAACATCCAATCTCCTTGGCAGGCGAGGTCCGCTACGCGGTTGAGTCCCTCATATTTAAATTTGGGGACGATTATTGCGTCGTTCACCTTTCGGAGATCCAGAATCATGCGACACTTGTCTTTCTGCTCGACCACGTTGAGTGGGCTTATGCATCTCAGTTTCGCCGCAGGAATTTGGATGGCCGCGCCGGTCTCGGTGAGTTCAAGGATGGCCGTGCGCGTGAATGCTTCGTGGATGCGTGCGCCGGCATGGTTGCGATCGTGAAAGGCCGGCGGCGGCCCGAGTTTCCATGGCATCCAGTATCCTTTGGCAATGACTGAGAGGATGAAACTGCTAGTGCACCACGAGCTCCACCAAGCGAACGTGGTACGTAGGCGGCCGCGCATTTTGGTGACCATCTTGTCAGTAACCGCGTATTCGTAGGGGTCACTGTTGTGTGCACATTCGCGAAGTCTGGTGCCTGTGGGAGTGCCATCATGCAAGGAGACGCAAGGGACGAATACTTGAGTTCATCTGCAGGGCTGATGCCTACCGGAAACCTAGAGCGTGGGGGGGGGGGAGTGTGAAGCCTAGTGGCTGAGGAGGGCGTGCCGGGTTGAGGTGCCACATGCGAGCAAGATGCTTAGGTCGGTGGGTGCCTGCGCTTTGAGCGGGTCTGAGCGGCGTGACCTGCGTGTGTGTCGATTTGCACGCCTACGCATGCCGAGCTTGCGTTCGAACCTGAGCCCCGATGTTTGCTTCCCTTGGTGCCCTCGTATTCCCACAACTTGTGCCTTCACCCGCGCTTCTACTCGCGAACGCATGTTACCCTCTTATTGCCGCCTTCGCTTGCGCTATCATTTCTTGGGTTTTGAGACTCAACGCCCGTGTTTTTTTTTTTTTTTTTTTTTTTTTGTCTTTCTTCTAGCCACCTCTTGTGTGCTTGTGTGGCATGCGTGCGGTGTTGTGTTGCTGTTCCCGTTCGTGGGCCATACCGCGTGCGTGCGCGCATGCTTATGTGACTCGTTTTTTTTTTTTTTTTTTTTTTTTTTTTTTTTTTCCAATGCCAGGGTGGGCAACCCTAGATGAGGCTGGTGTGGCTGTTCCTGTATGCCCACGGGGGGGTAATGCTTAGGGTCCAGGGTGTAGCACACCGGGTTGGAGGGTAGGCGCCTTGTAAAGGCTCGCATAATGCTTGAATTCTGTTTTTTTTTTTTTTTTTTTTGCATGTCCAATCGAGGAGCAACGCTGTGTGGGTAAGTGGCGGGCCATTGGTGTTCCTGATGGCCTTCCTTCTCTGGCCAGGGGTGCTGCGTGACATGCAGCGGGGGTTGAGCCACCCACTATGCTTCCCTGTTCCGTGCTCAATCCCCCCCCCACCTCTTTTTTTTTTTTTTTTTTTTTTTTTTTTGCTGCGCCTCTTGTGGTGCTGCTCCCCCTTTTCTCTGGTTATATTAGGGGACCAAGACCTGAAAAAAAAAATGAAGGACCGTGGCTCCTTATTTTAACCAAGCTTTATCTCTACTCAACATGCTCCTAGGCATGCAAAGTCCGCCTTGCAAGGTCGGGCTATCATTTGGGACCGAGGGGGCATGTTCCCCTTCCCTTGCTCTGATCCTAGGGCCTTTGATTGGCCTACACTAGGGCTGGCCCTCTGCCACCCGTGCCCCTAAGGGGTGGGCCCAATGGCCTACGCACACACCGGGTGCCTTGCGCCTTGCGCCACTTGCGCAAGCGCCCATGGCCCGACCCCTACACCACTGGTGCGGGTCCTTGGCCACCATGCCCAATTGCCGGGCAGCCGCTGGCCACATGCCCCGGCTGGCCACAGCGGAAGCAAGTGCCTCGGAAGCCACGGAATTCTCCCGTAGGCGGCGGACCACGCTTTGGCACGAATGGCATGGGCATGCGGCCGCCTCCGCGATTTCCTCGAGCAAATCCGCCCTCGGCGCGGTCCATTGCGGCCACGTCAGCGACGGCCTGCTTGAAAGGCCTTGAGGTCAGCAAACTCTTCTGCTGGTACAGCTTGAAACGCTTGGCCGTGCGGAAGTCGGAGGCGTCTTCGACTTGGAGAACTTCGAAGTGTCGTGGGAATTGAATTTGCAGCAGTGCCGGGGACCTCACCAGCGTCATTGTCGGAGTCGTCGCTGTCGTTGTCGGCCGCCGGGGCAGGCGGGATGCTGGGGATGGCGTCCTTAGCGAGGCGTGGCGTCTTGGTTACGCGTGTGGCCTTTTCTGTTTTTGCAGGTTCTTTTTTAGCAGATTCAGAAGCAGCAGGTTGAGCAGTTTCGGCGGCCGTAACACTCGTCGCCTGCTGCTGTAACAGCGTCAGCAGCGCGTTGACCTGCGCAGGGGTCAACGCCGGGGTCAATGTCGGGGTGGGCGGCACGTCAGACGAGGCAGCCGCGCGCCCCTTTTGCGCTGGCGAGAGGGGCCCGCCACTTGCGGGGCTAGCGCGTGCTGCTGCTCGGCGTCAGGCGCGAGTGGCTGGCTCTGCCCAGCCACTTGCGCGTGTGGCTCAGAAGGGGGCGGGGGCGCGTCAGCAAGCTGACTGTTGACCTCGCCCCCTCCAGCAGAACGTCAACCCCAGTTGGGGCGGTTGCCCCTTCTTCTGCCCGACGCTTGTTGCGCCGGTCGCCCGCAATTTCCGGGGCTTGGCGAGTAGACTCGGAATTGGGGTGGCCGGTGACGACGTTGGACTCGCCGCGATTATTCGTAGTCGGAGCCATGACGGATCGGTGAAACTTAAAAATGTCGGAGAGAAGAGTCGAGGGAGACTCGCCGCGAGGCAAAGTTCTAGTCTTAGCCAGCTTGAACGGGAGAAAAGCTAGAGCGGGAAAGTTGACTGAGCCGTTTGAAAAATGAGAGACGTGGGTGGAGGTAATGAGCTCCAACCCACGTATATGTAGTTGGAGAAGGGCGAGTAGCGCGCTTCGACGATGCCCAACGCTTCAGTACAATCAGTTTCGCTTTCACAATACACAATTTTTGAAAAACACTACGTGTGTTAAAATTATAATCTTTAGTGTTTTGGGAACTTGTAATACACTACTCTAGTTTTTATACGGCTTGAATGAGTCCTCTACGTGCTCTTCTCAAAATGTATGCCCACCTTTGACTAAGGTTTAAAATTTTATTGAGTACAACGCCTCAAAATGATAAATCATGCTAAATATCCGGACAATATTTTCCATCACTGTATGTAAAATATATATATGTTGACACCCCTCCTAGGCTTGGTAGGCGCTACTCACGGAGGCAAATGGCCAGGGCAGCTCTACTAGTCTATCCACTGGTATGAGTAGTCAGGAAATGGCGCACCACGCACCCATCACCTCTAAGCCCTGCACCCCATACCCAGAAGCAACTGTGGGATTCTACTACAGCGGGTCAACCCCTCGGCGTGCGTAGCGGCGACGTCGTTGGCGGGGGCAGCGGCAAGCAGCGACAACAGCGGCGGCGGCGATGGCGCCCGAGGCACCCGGCAGTGTGGACAACTCTGTGACGACGGGGAGGACGGCACGAGACCACTAGCAGCTGCAGCGGGAAGGAGGGGGGCGGGTCTTCGACTGCGACGCCTGTTAGCGAGCCGCCCTGGCTGGCAAGCTGGTTGGCGTGCGGGCGTGCAGGCTGGGGCTAA